CCAAATATGGTGTAAATAAGTTTTCCAAATATAGTGTAAAAATATGAGTTTACACTATTTTAATGTTAGAAATTGTATTGGGTTGGAGAAGGTTTTACACCAAAAATAAAATTTGGTATAGGATTGGTGTCGGGTTGGAGATGGCCAAGCTCGTAATCAAAAACTTTCGTAATTGTGACCAATGAACCAAAGCAATAAGAAACGTTTTGTTTAGGAGTAAAAGTATTTTAGTTTAAGCCTTTTCTCAAAAAAAAAAAGTATTTTGGGTTTTGTAATATTTACGTTTACTCTTGGGAATCACCGGAAGCAAATTACGTTTTTTTTTATAATTACATTTCTAATCTTTTATGTAATTCTAGAAATGCATGTAAGAAAAAAATTAGATGGAAAAATCTGAAACAAAATACTTTCGCGCATGGGAATATCAGATTACGTTTACACATGTAATTAAACTGTAAGCTAACCCAAAACCAAATGTACAGCCGGTTAACCTACTAAACCAAATCTGATGCTTTTTTCTTTTTGTGCACACAAAATCTCATGCTTAAAAGAAGTGAGTATACTACTCTACTACTACTGCAAGAAAAAGCGGTGAAACGATATTCCTTTGTTATCACGTTTCGAGCGTGACGCTGAGGAGAGAGTGACGCAGAGGTGGATTTGGTATCGATTCTCTCGGCCGGCTCTCCGGCGACGTTTGTTCAAGGTAATCACGCACAAGAGTGTAGATTTGATTTGGTGGAGCCATATTTTGGGGTTTTGCGGGGTTTTTTTTGGGTTTATTTGAGAGAGAGAGACGTGGCGATGGTCTCCGGCGTGAGATAGCCGGATTTCAGGCCAATCACGGTGGTTTCTGCTTCGTTGTCGCTTCTGATAAGCTTATCTACTTGTTTTTGTTATTCGGTTGGGTGGATCTGGTTCATTTTGGGGGGTTTTTGTTCATGTCGTTCGTTTCGTGGTTGTTGTTTTCCATGTTTGCTTTGATTTTTCAAGGATCGATCTTTTTCCGGCGCTAATCTAGGGTTCTGATGAATGTGTGTTTCCTCTAGTGTGACTCACTGTTTTGTTTTATACGTTTCTTCCCAGAAATCATCATGGTCGATGCTCCATTTGAGGTGGGCGAGAGCTCCAATGGACTCTTAAGCCACCAACTCCACTCGTACAACTTCTTCATTCAAAAGGTGTTTGATTCCTTCGGCGAGATGGTTGTGGAGCCCTGGTTTGATCCGGCGAAGCACAAATACCTTGGTTGGAGATACGCCTCAGTGAAGTTTGAGAGCATGACTTACTCATCAAGGGTGAAAGTAAGCGTCCAACTTCATGTAGAAATCCTCTTAAATACTTTTCTGTTAAAATCATATGTAAGCTGTTTTTATACAAAGGATTGTTTTACATGCTTGGAAAACTCATAAAAGCAA